GGCCCAGTCCCTTCCATCTGAAGCCACCCCTGGAGAAGCCGACCCCATCCCCACCAGTCAACGGCCTGGCAGCCCCACTGGCCTATCCCAATGGTCACTACTTCCAACCCGTGTGGAACAACATTCTCCCCACTCCCAATAGCGACAGCTCGGGGTCTCAGGACCTCGCCATGCCGTTCCATGGTGGGCAGCCTGCAGGTGCACCCCTCGACTGTGCCGCAGCTTCTGGGGCCCACTACCGAGCAGGGACCGGGGGCGGTCCAGTGGCAAGCCAAAACAGCTTGATGCAGACAGTGGATTATCTAAGTGGGGATTTCCAGCAGGCCTGCTTTCGAGAACAGAGCCTGGCTATGCTGAGCAAGGCCCACCGAGCCCCTGGCAGCCGAGCCCCAGACCCCACAGATAGTCGAAGTCTTCATATTCAGCATCCAGGGTATAGATAGGTAGGCCTGGTGCCCTCCACGAGCAACACAGCATACATCACCCTCCTAGGTTTAGTCTTACTTCTAAGTGACTGGATAGTTTCCAAGTTTCACCGCTCCAATGTGATCATTCGTAGATATCTAAGGGGATTTGGCGAGATCTAAATTGGGGACAGAGGGGGCCTCTCATCTTCCCCACCAGCAACTTTTGGTTTTGTATTAGATCCTAATTCCAACCCCAGGCTTTTCTCTCTGCCACCTGCCAGTCTGTCTCCACATGACCATTGCCAGCCAGTCTCTTCCCATCTTTTCTTGAACCTCCTGTCCCTTAGTGAGGTGTGAACTGAGGTGGGCCCTAGGTGGGCATTTCTTTTTTTCTGTCTCTCTTAGCTAGACTTCCCAAGTGCTCTGGAAGCTAATTCCTTATTCATTCCAAAGACCTCAGATCAGAACTGACCCAGACTTCATCTCTGAACTTTTTCATTCCTCAAGGCTTTGTTTTGCATCTATATCTATCCCAGAGCCACTGGCCTTTGTCCTTGCCACACAGCCTCAGGGCCTCCTGCAAGGAAGTGGCCGTAGCCTTGAGACATGGGAAAAACGTCTGTCCTTCTCATCTGTCCTGCTTTCTGACTCCCATTTCTGGGCTTAGAGAAACGCAGTGGCCATCCAGCATATTAGACCCAGATCCCTTTCTCACTGTTGGCTCTGCCCTGAGTTACCTGCTGCCCTCATCTCTACTTCCTGCTCCCCTCCCCC